ATTGTCTGAGTGTAATATGATATCCTCAGAGAGAATGCCTGACCACTACAATATCAGGTCATCAAGTCTGATGCCTGAATAGCTTCTTAAGAGTTCTACAGACCTTTATAGATATCTCTAGGAAAAAATCAAAAGTTTGTGTTCCCACAACTGGCATTTATCCTTGAGAGGGTTAATTTCCGTGTGAATCAGATAATCATTCCCAAATTGTATCAAAATTCATCTGGACATCAAAGTATCAGTTGCTCCATTGTTGGAATGATGCCAAGATGCATCAACTTGTCTAATTCTACAAGTTTTATTCTTCTACATTGTTTCTGTGTTCCATAAGCATAAAAGTACTTCAGAGTTGTTGAAAGTGTGTAACTTCTTTCAGTCTTACCCTATGAAAAACTGTAGGCACACTAAATATAAGTTTCAGGCAATTAATCAAATTTTGATCCAAAAATGTACTTTGAACATAAAAAGTACAATAAAAAAACACCAAAAAGAATGTTGTAATTGCACTCTAAAAATTCAGGAGTTTATAATCTTAAAATGCATAACCCAAAAGCTGAGAATAAATCTCTAAAAAACATAATTAAAACGTAAAAAATCTTTATAGCTTTAAGCAGTGTTCAGCCTTTAACTATATAAGTGGATATACAGCTGGTGAGGGGAAGGCTTGAATGTGCTGTTCGGCCGCAGTCTCAGGAGATTGCCAGCTCTCTGCCTGCTTTTAATGACATTTCCCTCCCCCCAATGCCACTGTTGTAGCAGGATGTGCACTCTTGAGATAGCCCATTTGCCTGATCCTGCAGCTAGAGTCATCCTAAGAGGCTGCAGTTGTTCAGTTCACCACATGAGGCAGTTCCTGACTAGGAAGTTTATCTTTAACAAAGGCTTCCTTCTGTCTTTTCTAAAATGATGTTTTGCCTTAGCCAGTCATCCTAAGAGGCTGCAGTTGTTCAGTTGTTGTGCAGTTGTTCATGAAGCAGTTCCTGACTAGGAAGTTTATCTTTAACAAAGGCTTCCTTCTGTCTTTTCTAAAATGATGTTTTGCCTTAGCCATAGGTGCCAGTGGTAGCAGAGCTTCCTTCTGGTAGCCCAGGTGCCATTTTCTTTTCCCCAGGACCACCTTTGAGCATGGATTTGGGGCAAAATATCAGTTGCCCTCCACTCCCTTCCACTTGAGAATTAGACATGGGTGCTTCATATTCCTCTCTCTCGGGAGTGGAATATAAAGTTGGCAGCACAGGTGGCCGGCCTGATTGGACCCTCCTCCCCCAAACAAAATGCCACTTATTACTCAATGCGTGGCATGCACAGCTGACATCATCAAAAGTGTGCCAAGCGCGGCAGTAGCCTGGCTGGTGCTGCTCCATCTCCCTGGACATTCAGGAGCTGAGCGGGGAGGCTCGTCATCCCACCCTCTTGCCAAAGTGGCCAGCCAAGCAGGGAGGTAGGTCAGCACCAGCCGGGCTACTGCCGCGATTGGCACACTTTTGATTATGCCATCTGCGTACATTTCATAGTGAGTGGCAAGTGGATGCCCAGTTTGGGAGGGGGAGGGTCCAGTCAGTCTGGTCTCCTGTGCCAGCAAGCTCCCATCTCTATTGAGAATGAACTATATCCAAGATCGTTATAGGAAATTACAAAGTGGTTGGGCCAACGAGAGAGAAATCTTACTCTTCCCCTGTCTTGATAAATCAGTGTGTGGGGTCGTGGTGGTTGTAAACACAGTAGGGTAAAATAGTGGGATAAAATAAATAGCAATATTGGCTTATTGCAAGGAATTCATAGACCACTATGTTTATAAAGAGCACATTTCTATGAATTCCTTCTGGACCTCACTTTTGCCATGCATCAAGTATAGCTGCACATCCAACATTCCCCATAGCTGCAAAGTGGAGAAGGTGGTCATTAAGGAGTCTTTCAGGAAACACAGCTGCATGTTTAACTCCTTTGAATTGAAATAAACAGGACTTACAAATGTTTAGTTTTACCTGGACTGTGCCTTTCAGTAGATAACATAATATTTAGAGTGGCTAGATCTTGCTGTTTTAAAGAAGCTACTGAATAGTCATCAACTTAGGCTTTCTTTTCTAATGCTGGCACTTAACAGCACTTTTACGAAGTCAGGAAAATCATCTCATTGATTTCCCCTGCAATATGGGAACGTTCAGTCTTAGAAATCAGATTATTCTTTCTAGTGTTCAAGTCATGGAAAGATGGTCTTCTATTTACAAATGTAATTTAGTCTCATGAGAAAGTAATCTTGTTAAAATATTGTCAGGTTAATTGAAATTGATTTGTGTTTACTAAACATAGCAGTTGCTAATCAAATATCAGGCTTAGAAGCTTTGAAGGCACATTTGATAGATTCCTGTTAGTCTTACACTGAATGAATCAGTGAGTCAAATCTATGGAGAGATAAATGTACTGGAGCTCTTTTAGGGCTTAGCATTTTCCCCTTTCAAAGGCATAAGATTAATGTGTCAATAGTCTGCCTTCTGCGAGATGTTATTCTTTGGGATGAATAAGATAGTCCTAAATTCTTGATTACTTCTGCATGTGTTATATGTCAGTACCTCACAACAGTTTTTATTGATGCTTAATTACATCCCATTTGTTTATTTATTTGTTTAAAATATTTCTATCTCGCCTTTCTCCCCCAAAGGACCCAAGGTGGAAAAAAGAATCAAGTGAACCTTAAGAAAGATACTAAATAAGGTGTATACACCTTTGGTCTGCATTCACTTGGCAAAACAATTTATTTTCCCCACTGTCAACAACACTGCTGTGTTTCTCCATTAAAAGGCCCATCATTAAAATTAAAAATTAAAGATAGCGACAATGGGTATACAGATACTAAAAATGATCAAACAAATACTATACAAAAAAATATAAGCAACGCCAAGACGCATTCAAAACAGTAAGGGACAACAATCCATTTAAAAACCCCACTCAAGCAGGCAGTCACTTAGGTAAAAGCCTACCTGAAGGAAAAGGGGTTCACCTGTTTGCATTTGATGCACTAGTTTTAATTGTGCAAATGTACTCTTGGTCACTGCTGAAACCTGGGCATCCAGGCTCAGAACTGAATCCAGGAGCACCTCCGAACTGCAGACTTGTTGTTGTTTAATCATTAAGTTGTGTCCAACTCTTTGTGATCCCATGGACCAGAGCACGCCAGGCCCTCCTGTCTTCCACTGCCTCCCAGAGATGGGTCAAACTCATGTTGGTAGCTTCGATCACTCTGTCCATCCATCTCATCCTCTGTCAGGTCTGCCCACATAAGAACACCCTGGTACTCTCAGATATTATTGTGAAAAGGTCAAGTGGGCTTTGTAGTCCTTAGACTTAACTTGCACCACTGACAGGACTCTAAGTAAGCTAGGCCGAGGCAGCACTCTCAGATGACCCTATGACAAGTGTACTGTTCAGGAAACCAAATGAGTTTTATAATCTTTATTTTATTAAAGAAAAAGCATGTTACTAAGCCAAATTAAACCAAAACAAATAAACTAGCATTGTGCTGTTTAGTTACACAGATGTAGTGAGGCAAAGAAAACAGGAAAAATATAAAAGAGTTCAAAAATCCAAAAAGCCATTAAAAAGAATACAAACAGTTCCAGTCCAGGAAATCATTAGTAAACAAAATAATCCAAGTTGGTTATAACAAGGCTATAGTCCTCAGTGATACTATAGAATAAAAATCCCTAAACAAAAGTAAAAATCCACTATATGTCCCATAGTCCTTAGAAAAGAAAAATCCAGTAAATATACCATAGTCCTTACTAAATTACAAGAGCATAGTCCATATGGAGTATTCCAAGAAAAGAAGTCCATAAAGAATATTCCATAGAACAGTCCATAGAAAATAGTCCATGCATAGTCCTTAGGAAAAATCCCATAAGTCCAAAAGTAATCCAGCAAAGCATAGGAACCAGTCCATGTAGGTAGGCCACCA